CTACTATTTGGTCTATTGTAGTGATTTTGTGAAGAATTTTGTGTATTTCTTCGTTCTGGCGATCTTCCTCTATAACTTGAGTTATATGGTGATTGATTTCTTGTATAATTTGTATTGTTCGGGAGTGGTTTTCCTGAACTGTTGTTGCTGTGGACTGTTTTGTTCGGTAGATTTTGATCTTTTTTCATGTATTGATAGAATGATTTATTTGGTTCTTTATATTTTTGAGGTTTATTTTGATTGTCTTGCTGTTTTTGTCTACATTCGGAAATACTATGTCCGTATCGTCGGCAATAATTACACCATTTTTTGAAAGATGGTTTGCCTTTAAAGTTTGGGTTCTTTTCATAAATATTGAGTATTTCAGTGATTTTTTCAACGAGGTCTGTCTCTGATTCCTGTATATTATTAATATTAGTGGGAGTCGTTTCAATTCTGTTAACGTATTGTAATTTCAGATTTTCCGTTTCTTCTAGTTTCATCGTGATTTCTGCTTGTTCTAATTTGTCTACTAGTTTTCGAAAATCTAAATCGGGTTCTCGAATTGAAGAAGGATGGGATGCTCTCTTTTTTATTGCTATTTTCCTTAATTGTGGTGTTAAGGTCATCATTAAGATTTCTGTCATCTTTGTGTTTTTATAGTCATGTGTATTTAGTGAGTATGCTTTTCGAACTAGTGTTTCGATTCGTACTGCTATTTGCTTGATGGTTTCGTTTGGTAATCTGCGAATTTCATTACATAAAACTCTTTGTTGTTGTTTGTTTCTTTCGGAGTCAAACATTTTTGAAAATTCTTGTGTAAACCTTTTCCAGTTTGATTTTATTTCTAGAGGTAGTACTGAAAACCATTTTTGGGCTGCGCCATCTAAGGTTGTTTGTATTAACGCTGTGCGTCGATGTATCCAATTTTGATGTAGTGGCGTGTTAATTGGTTCAGGTCCAATATTTAAAATCAGGTTTGCTGTTACTGCATTTAAATAATCTTCTACAGAGCATTCAGGGTCTGTTCCTGTGAAAACCATTAAAGGTTTGTTTGATGTTATTGATGATCCACCCATAAGGTATGGATTCATTGTCATTTGTAATGATTCTGCTGCATTTGGCATTTGAGAAAAATTTGAAAGTTGGTTTCTTGTTATTTCATGTTGTTGGAGATAATATGGGAGTGGTATTTCATTTTGCATTTGTGATGCTTGATACGAGTGTGTAGTCATTGGATTTTGTTGTTGAATTGGTTGAAAAGATTGTGTATTAATTAGATTTTGTTGCTGAATTGGTTGTTGATGTTGTGCATCTATTGGTTGTGGAGAAAAATTTCTATGATTTGTACGTGTTTTCTGTCTTCCTTGTCTACGATATTCTTGAGTATTTGGTGCAAATATATCTGGTTGTAAGAAATCATCATCTGAGGATAAATAATCCATTTGATAAGATGTCTGTTTTTTATTTTTATTTTGTTGAAAAAATGGGTAATTTTCACTGTGATCCTGTGGAGGATTTGTTTGGAAATTTATTGAATTAGGTTGGGTCATTGGGTTATCCCAATTTCGAGATCTTGTATATTGGTTAAAATTTCTTTGTGGTTGGTTATATGTTTTTGATGGATGTGTATAATTATAATTATGGTCTGCAAAGTTGTTTCTAGTGAATGTTTTGCGTGTTTTTGATGGTATTGTCATGGGTCTGTATGTTTGGTAATCCATATGTGAATATTTAGGAGCAACCGAAGGTTTAACGGTTGATTGTAAGGTTACCTGTGTTTGTGAAGGATTTGTATTTCTTGGTGTTGTTAAATTTGGGCGTATTGGTGAAATACTTTGTTGTGTAGTTGTTGTGTGTACAATTTCTTCATTTATGAAGTGTGATGGTGTCTGGATATCTTGTTGAGTAAGATTCCTAGTTCCATTGAGGTTTTCATTGTGTATAACTGTAGAGTTTAAACTATTATTTTGTGTATCGGGCAAAAATGTATTATAGTTTAATGGTGTTGCATCAATGGTTAATGGTATTACTTTTACATAATCTCTTATGTAAGATATCGTACTTATTGCTTGACTTGAGATTGATTGTGGGAAGCTTATAAATGCGGGATGAGACCATTCGGGGTCCCAAACATAATCTGATTGTTCTGTGATAGCGGTATCATCGTTCGAGTTTTGGGGTCTAAAATTTTTTCTTGCTTGTGCAATTAAATCAATATTGTGTGTGAAATAATCTATTATGAACCATGCCAAAATTTTTTGTAGATCGTGTTTTGTATGTTGTGAAACGTCGTCTTTCGTGAAATTTTCTTTAATGATGTTTAAATAACTAGAGAGTAGTGTGATTTCATGTCGTACTTTCAAATGTTTAGATGTTTCTGTCGGTGAGACATTTGTTATTGGGATTTCGTTTTCTAATATCGAAATATAACTATATATTATTGCGAAAACTTCATTGGTGAATATGGAGTTTGCTCTTTGTGAGTTATGATATTGGATGCTTTTTATATATTCTGAAAAAACTTTTGAAAATTCTAAATCAAGATCGTCTGTTTGAATTGTATATTTTCTATTATTATGGTTTGGTGAGGTGAATTCTATGGAGTAGATTCCATACTGTTGCGTTATGTTGCATATATCTTTTAAGTAGTGGTCTATGATTTGTCTTTTGATTTTTACATCTGGGAACTCTGTTTTACATGGACTGATTCCGGGTTCAAATAAATTTAATAGTAAATTTTTGCAAAATATATGCTGTCCTCTATCAGTGGTTGCATCTACTATAAAAGGAAAGATTTCATCATCATCTGGACTTTCTTCACCTGGGGTGTGCGTTGAGCTCATTTTTTCGTTCGATGACTGTTAATATGTAATTATTAATGTGTCGAATTGGTTGATTCCAATTGTATAAATGTACTGGTTTGTGTTTATACTGCTTTTTTATTCTTCTTTTTCCTCTTTTTGATGAATTTGAAGTTGTTTCTGAGTCAGAAAAATATAATTGATCGTGAAGTGGGTAATTTTTATCTATTGATTCTTTTAGTTTGTAAAGTTCGTCTAAACTGTTGGTTTCTGATTCTGAAAATGCGTTTCGATTTTTTGAAAATCTTTTTCGTGTTATTTGTCTTTGTTTCGTTATTATTTTTCTTTTTAGTGTTTGTCGTTTTGTTCGAATGTATCCAACTGTTTGTGTATGAGGTGTGATTACAAGGTCGTATTTTTTGTTATCTATTTCACAATTGTGTAAAACGATTGTTTGTTTATTTCCTAGGTTTTTAAATGACATAAGGTTTAGGATGACGGATGCAAAAGGTTGTTAAATGATTTCTATTTTCCTAAACTGTTAGTTCTTACGATTTTTTGGTTAGCTTAACCTGGGTCTATTTGTTCAGGGTTGGAGAGAAAAGTATATCGCTTCCGAAGAATGATTTTTTACTTTCTCGTGGCTAGTATAAGTTAAGGTGTTAACTTACTTAATCTTACTTAGGGGTAGTGATTGTGTTCAAGGGTTGGAGAATAGTAAATCGATCCACAAGGTTCAGGTATAATTAGAACGCGAGTAGTTCGTTAGATACTATTTTAAACTTACTAAGTCTAAGATTTATCCTGGGTCTGGTAAGAGGGGGGGTCAAGTGAAGGATGAATAACCGAAGTTCTTCACTGTTTATCCTAATTTGAATGATTAGTTTTGTTTAAAAATTTCTATTAGTTTTGGGTCTTTAGAAAGGGTTGGGTAGTGAATCGACGTTTGAGGTCGTTAGACACTAATTAAGTGGGTGGGGGAGAACAAAGTTGTTCTGTTTGATCCAAGGATAAGCCTTGATGATCAAATTTGAAATTTAATTAAGTAGAAAATGATTTAAGATCCAAGGATAAGCCTTGATGATCTGGTTTTAAAATTAAGTGAATTTAAGTTTTAATAAGATTTTAAATGTGTGTAAAGGAAAGATTTAGTGTTTTGATGATATTAGTGGGTTTATGATTGCTGTTATGTTTTAGGTGATGGAGCTGGAACAACAGGATGATTTATGATTACTAACCATTTATTGTCATGCTACTAATTTTTATTTTTTTTTTTCAATAAATATTTTTCAAACATATTTTGTATATTACTGCAGAGTTTTAGGAAAACGATCTTAGATCTTTTTATCAATCGTTATTGTATATTAATAATTTTGTTTAGCGCCTGAAATGATTTTGAAGATTAACTTCAAGGTTTTATGTTTGCAAATGAAAATCTAAATTCATTGCCAGTAGTATTCTAAATATAAAAGTTTGTTCTGGTTTTTGCCTAACTATCATATAGCTATATGGCAAGTTTCTACTTTGTCGTATGTCGTCTCTGGTTCGAGGTCTTCTTCCAATTTCGGGTAGTTCTGTTATGGTTCGGAATATTGGCTCTGATCTATTGAGTCGTAGAGACATTTCGATTAAATTATTGTCGTTTAACATTTTGTAAATGTTTTTGTCTAATGTCTAATCTATTTTGGTTAATTCTAAGCTATTAAGGTCTTGTTCGAGACTTATGGTCGCACCAGATGAGTTAGTACCGAGTTGGTTAACTCATAGAGTAATTTCGGATAGGGTACACCGTCTGCTCGTCACGCTATCTTATTTTCGGCCGGATAGATTCGTGCAACTTCTTAGTCTAATACCGATCCTAATCTTACTCTTATACTATCTAGTCTCAGGTTGTTTAACTAGTCTCTGCTAGGCTCAATAGATCTAGGGTATACTGGTTTATTGCGGCTGCTGAAGTGCTCGGGAGAGTCCAACTAATTTCTAAGTTAAATTCAAATCTCTCTGGTGCTGAAATTACAAGTAACTTCAGCACTTACAAATAAGTGGGTTGTTAGTTAGATGGATCATGATTGGTTAATATTAAATACTTTACATTGGTAAAATATCTAAATTATCCAATCATAAAATGTAGTTTAGATCAGGTTCCACTTGAAACCATGATTCGTTATACAAACAAAGAGGTTGCCAACAACTTGGTATTAATTGTAGTTTTTATAGCATGGGTTCCCACAGTAACCTGAAAGAGTCGCTGAAGATCTCGGACTCGAAGAGGTCATCGCGACAGGGCTCCATCTTCAGTCTACAGCTGGACTCGTTCCCAAACCCTTTCAGCAGTAATCCCAACTCAAGGAGAAACTCAGCCGAGTCTGAACAAGGCAAGTTGTATTTGAGAACCGATGGTGAAGTGAATAAGTACTCGCTTCTCAGGCGAAAGGTCGGTGGTTTCGAAACTTACTGTGATCCGTGCTGATTGCCTGTACATACCTGTAAGCACCAGCGGAATTAGGGGGTGGACGCCCCCTTCAGGGATTCGATTCCCTGCCGACAATTTTAAAATCTCCATTTTTGGCTGATGAACCCTAAATTTTTTTCTAAATAGCCTTCGGCGCCAATATATACTTAATTTTTGGGGGAAGCGCGCACCAAAAAATTTTCCTTAAAGTGCCCAAAACGCCTTTTTTGGCCTGTTTTTTTTTAATTTTGCCTGCGGCGCAGAAAATTTGGTCAAAATAAGGTCTTTATAATGATTAGTGTGAGCTCGGAAAATCAATTTGGTAGACCTAAAGAAAAAGAATTAAAAACAAAAAAAAGTCGACAAAATTTCATTTTTTTTTCGAAAATTGCCCCCCCCCTCGAGAAAATCTTAGATCCTCCCCTGCCTATAAATGGTCTCAAAAAAATTTCACATAAAACGTACTCTAAATGCTGCACTAAAAGTTTTGGGGCCTGGAGTTGTTTCAGATTTTTTTTACATTTACAAATTATACTTTGATTTCAGACGAGGAAAGTCAGATGCTTACTAAGTTGCGGCCTTGTCACAAAGTGGCTATTCGTTTTGTCCGCAAACTGAAATATTTTGTCTACCGACGCAAATTCAGAGAGGCTCTCAAACCCTACGATGTAAAAGATGTCATTGAACAGTACGCGGCAGGACACGTTGAACTCCTATCTAGGGTCAAAGAGATCCAGCAAAGGTCAGGTCCAGCAAAAGTCTTTCCCTTATTTCAATTAGAAGGCAAATCGTTCACGTTTTATGAGTTTTTTTCACGTATAGTTAATCGGAAACCAGCATTTCAGGCGCTCAACTGAAAGAATAAGCTTACCTTCAGTATCTAGATTTCAATTGATTTGCGGTCAGATCCAGTTTGTCTCTTTTAAAATCATACAAATGAAACATGTTTCGTAGTTTTTATTGCTTTTGGATAATATTGCGGATCGTTTTGGGTTTCTAACAGTCACTTTTTAGGTTTTGAGCATTGGGTTTCTTAGGATTTTTTCTTTTTTAAACGAGTGCATCTAGGATTATCTCGAGGGGGGGGACGAATTTTCAAAAAAAAAAAAATTTTGTCGATTTTTTATATAAGGTTGATTAAATGGGCTCTCCCAAATCACTTAAAGGGCCCCATTTTGACCAAATTTTAGAAAATTTTACTGTCGGTCAGCCAAAATTGGATTCTCTTAAATAGTACCCTTTGGGTCGGCAGTGGTTCGAATGCCTGAGAAAAAGAGACGTCCACCCCCACCAACACCCCCACCCCCGCCCCCACCACTAAATCAATCCCTGAATTTAGAGATAATTTTTAGGGTTTTGAAGAATAATTTTTAAGTTTTATTTAGAATTGACATTGTGGTTGGAATAAAAGACAAAAAGAAACAATCGGAAACTAAAATGACAGTTGCTTCTCGGATTGTGAAACTCGAGAGTCAAATCACGTACTTGGAGCGAAAGCTGGACCACCTCATAAACGTGTACAGGAAAGATCAAATGCGATACAAACGAACAGACACTGCGAACTCAAACCACGAGGACGAAGAACCCACTGCAAACCCGATTCACAACCCGAGCAGTCTGCCAAGTTCGGCTCCTCCCACTCAAAATGTAGCGGCCAATCAACTGTTAACTCCTTGCAACCAACGTGAAGACTTAAAAAGCAGCACGATGAGCATGAATTTCCTAAGTCCCGACCGAGGCAGATTCGAGAGCCACCGAGTGAAAAACAGGTCCTCCTCACAGCCGACTTCACTTGAAAACTTGAGAATCATTCCCGACAACTCAGCTCGTAGTGAAGTTGCGAGATGCTCGCTGCAGTCTGACAAAAAATCGTCGCTTCTCCCGCTGAGGGCGACCAGCATCAAAATCCCCTCATTTCTAGACAGAAACAAATAATCAAACTGCAATAAAACTAAAACTTGTATTTAAAAAACTGAAAAATGGAAACAAATTGATAATTTAATTCTTAAAATTGCTTCGAAACTAATTTTTTTTATAGTTTACGAGAATCATTGTAAAAAAATGAAGGTTCTTTTGGTTGCAAGATTTGAAGGCAAAATTTAGTTTCTAAAGTTATCTTTTCATCAAAACAGGAAAACTGGCATCTAGAAACGTTTTAAATTATGTTTCATTCAAACGATTTTTAAACCTGTTTCATTCAAACCATAGAGATAAAATATAGTTTTTTTTGCACAAGCGAAGTGTATATTACATTTTTCAGAGCTTTCGCTGATGCGAAATTGCTTTAAAATTTATTAATTTTGGCTTTGCGTACTTGTATTGCAAATTAATGAACGAAAAATTACTAAAATGTCACTTTGTCTCAATCAAAATCTCGTAGGTCATAGTAATAAAATTAATAAAAAATTGTAAAAAACTGAACTTTTCACTTTTTGCATTGATTTTCTTCCATCAATTTTCGGAGCTACATTTTGTTTATAAAAACTGTTTTTATAACATGTTGAATATTCTGTCGCCTTCTTTGCTCCTTATTGCTGTCTGCAGTTTTTCAATTTCTGTGAAAGGAAAATAAGAATAAAGCTCAAAAAGAACTATTTTTTTTGCATCAAATAATTTACTGTGTACAAGTAGGTTCAAATGAAAATACCAACTCTGCCTAGGATCAGCCACAGGCATTCGCCAATATGATGCTAACCCTAACTTCTAGCTGTTTTATTTTTTTTTCGTCTTTTAAGTCACCACTGGTAACAGTAACGGATTTTTACCAAATCTTTGACCAGATAACTTGGAAAAAACACAAGATAACCTAATTTAGCCGAAAATTAAACTAAAACTCGCTCGTTTTGCTATGGAAAATTGCTAATCGCAGAGATGTTTAAAAATATCTTTAGGGTGTTCATTAAGAAATTCCATGATAACGCTTAGTTTAAAAGTAAAGAAGTAAAGAGCACACTTCTCTCAACGCAGGTGGTTTGTGTAAGATCTTTTTTCAAATTTTTTCAAAACAATATCGGGTAAACCTTTGTTATCAATGATGTAGCAGCAGCAGTCTCAAACCCTGCGAGCTCAGCAATTGAACCCATATCGGTTTTCAATTGCAAGTTTATTTGCAAGTACCTTGAAAGTAAAAAAAAATCAGTTGGATGCTCTATTGAATCTATTTTGAAGCATTGGTTTGACACCTGTATCGCTATAATGAATAGAACTAGCTGAAATTGGTTTGACAAGATTCAGGCCGTTCAAATTGCGAGTTTTCATAGCTCTTCCTTTACCTCTTTGAACATTTCAAACAAATCTAAGAAGAGCTTGCTGGAAATACTTTTGCAATCATCTGGTTCAGAACACAATCACGCTATCTTTTGAAAAGTTTTTTGCTTGCAATTCATTTTGCATTTTTAACTAGTTTGGTTTAAGCATTCGTATATGAAAACACCATGCCAAATGATTGATTTTATGTAACTATTCTAAGAATCATAAGCAGATGCTTACAGTGAAACACGTATCTGAGGTTACAAAAAAGTCTACAATTTATTAATAGTTTGAAATGATATTCTTACAAGGGTCGGAACTATTTTTTTTTCATCAACCAACGTTCCTACAAATTATCCTAACATTACTAATCGAAATTTTGTTAGCATATTTTGCTAGCTAAAACAGAAAAATGCTGTTGCAATTTTTAATTAAGTTAACTCATAATTTTTGTTTTAACGATGTTTTAAATAGGGCAAGTTAAATTGATCTAGTCGCTCACTGGAAAAACAGTAGGAGAATATTTATTCTTTTTTTTCATCATGGATTTTTCATCTGAAAAAAAGTCAGACTTTTACAAGGAATGTGTAATTCTTTGATGTAAACGAGAACCAAAAAAAGGACCCAAGAAAATTACTTGAAAAACAACATGAATCACTCACATAATTTTGAAGTTGAATCATCCTGCTACACAAATTAGCTTCTGCCTGTTGCAATTATCTTCATTACATCAAATGATAAGCCACGCACACCAAAACGTTTCAATTTCAAGAATAAAAACCGGTGATTTACTGCATCAAAAACTTTTTCAGATAAATAAAACAGGCAGATGGTTTTTTTCCTTTTGTAATTTAGCCTTGTAGTTAATTAAGCGAAAGCTCCACCTCACCACTTACAGAAAACTGTTTTACAAAAGCAAAACTGACGCTCAGCGAAAAGGCAACTCTGAATGTTCCGACAGCCCTTTAGCGGGTCTCGACTATTTTTTTTGCAAAAAGATTTTCGATGAAATATTAATTTCGAATTCTTGAACTGTGTTTTGTATCCAAACAAACAAAATGAAACGAGTAGATACCACAGTGATGTAAGTGTCATACGACTGTTAAATTATATAAACTTTACAACTCACGATACGCTTTTAATATTAAGGATAGGAGTCGCAAAAACTATCCATTAGTACTTTCCATAGCGTCCGAGGAGATGAAAGAAGAACAAATTTCTTGACCATCAGTTGTCCAATCAAAAACTTCTTACTAAGTCTGTAAGTGCAGTCGGAAGATTTAAGAATTTAACCTGATATTCGATCAGTCTTGTTTTTTTTTCTAAATCCAGATATTGGTATTAAGCCTTCAAAGCTCTCAGTTTTTTGAAGAAACTGACAAACTATTTTTTTCCAGTCAAACTTTTGATTTGTTCATTAGCTTATTTTGGTGCTAATTTCTAAAATGATTAAAGAGCTTTTTTGTCCTATTGCAGATTTAAAACCACAAATATAATAGAAAGAATTCGTTTTTTGGAAGTTTTGCCTTTTTTCAAAAATTTCCACCCAGTGCCCCAGCCCTTCAGACAGCAGGTTTTGAGCGCGTAATCGCTACTCACCGTTCAGCTCACCATTCAATTTGGCAATATCAATTCCATTCAACGAATGTGAGGTGATACTAGGATTGACCGTTGTTTGATGTCTTTTTTGATGGCCGATAATCAATTCTAACGCATTTGAACTATAAAAAAAACAGAGCCTAAAAACCCAATTAATGTTGAGTCACTGTGTTGTGATTGATAAAGATGCTCCAGGTCATGGATATCAAAAAAAAACAATTTGGCTTCAACAATAAAGCCGATGGGTCTTATGGGGATTGTTAGTCAAGCATTTTTGTCGTAGATAAAATGAATGCAATTGAATGACTAGAATTGTTGATCCACAGATGTCAACCCGGGCAAAAAGTTTTTACTTCAGATTGACGTTCTAAAATTTGAATTTATACACAAAGTTTCAATAAATGTCAAATTTTGATGTCGTTTTAAGACAAAAATTTTGTGGCAAAATTGTAACACTGCAAAATTGTAACGAAGTATAAGGTAATGTTCCGATTTTCAAAAGAGAAGCCGTTTTGTCTGGCACACCCAGGTTTTTGCGCAAAAAATAACGAGTACAAGCTACAAGAGAGGCAAAATATTGGGCCACTTCGTCGGTTTTAAGGGTTGGTTCCGGCAATTGTGAGGCACATAAATATGCCAATGTTTATGACTTCCTGTTTCGCGAATATAAGATACAAGGAAATGAGTATGCTCGAAACCCGAATGGGATCAAAGATTCATAAGTTTCCGTTCACGTTGTCGAAATTGAGGCTTTACAATAAGCTCGGAGGGAAAAATTTCCGAAATACCAAATCTTTGCGGCAGATATCGAGCCAGCAGTTCTTATTGAACAAGAGCGAAGAAAAAGTTTTTATGTCGACACCCTTTAAACGAAACCCTACAAGAGATGATAGGAAAAAAAGAGCAAAAGCTGGATTTTTTGGTTGACGATTCCTTTCTTACAATGGAAAGCTTAGAACAGCTTGATCTCAGTGTCCTGTGACTGGATAAAGCCAGAGACTATTACGTCGGTGAGGTTGTGGTATTCAACGCTTTCTGCCTTGAAATGATCCAGACACTTTCAAAGAAAGGCATCAACGATTAAGCTTTGTTTCAAACAGCTGACATCAAACACAAACACAGCGTCTTGCAAATCATCCGAAAACCAGAATGACCGATTTGCACTCCGCTGGCTTGAAATGACCGGACTGCGGCGATTTGTAGCTTGATAAATCCAATTTTTCAAGTATAAACACTGAAGCTCATTTAAAATGTGTCTAAGTGAGCATCTTTCAAAATCGAAACCGTTTCTAGATAGTTTACATAAATAATTGTCTTCATATTTACCGCGTTAATTTTCGACAGTTTCTTTTTGACAAATACATACATATATATTGACTATATTTTGTAAATTTTTTACAAATTATTCTGTATTTTGAATATAAACACATCCCATAGAAATTGCCGGGACATTGAAAATATGGAAAAAAGTCCAGCAGTTTTAATGATTGAATTTATGTCGGATTTTTTTGGCTCGCAAAAGCGTAATACAGATTTCAATTGCATTGGCCAAACTAAGATTGCAATCGATTATAATCGATTTTTACACAGAATTTCAACTAGTAGAAAATTGATTGTATGTAACCCAATAAGGCATTAAATTCGATAAAATAGAGATTTTGTACAGTTCAAAAAAATCAATTATAAAGTCTAGATAATGAATTATTCTTGCAGTATAAATCTGAACAGATTCTGAATAAACCTGAAAACAATCTGTATAAAATCAATAACAATTGATTGCAATAGGTTATTCTTTTAGAAAACTTAAAGGTTTCATTTAAATTGTTGATTGCAATGCGTTTTGACTGAATTGTTTAAAAAGCGGATCAAATTAATCGCCTTAATGGCTAGATTTAAAAATCAACAATATCAATTTTCATTTATAATAATCCACTGTATCTATTTTTTTCACTTTACCGAGATGCAAGTAAATATGCAAAAATCAACTCACACAAATTCGTACAGGTAAACGTTTAAATGTTTATATTCTTGAATTCAAGTAACTTCTAAATTTTATCTCACAAGTTTATTGCAGAGTGAAGCTTAGCTAGCGTTTTAACAGGTAGGTGAACTTTTTGCAACAGGCGACC